TGTCCAACTAGACCATCCCAGACAAGGCTTTGTCTAGCCGGGTCTTAAACACCTCCTAAGGATGGTGTGTGCACCACTTCAATGGGTAACCTGTTCCAGTGCTTTACCACCCTCCCCTTGAAAGTCCCTGCCCCCCCAATAATATATCTAAACTTCCCTTGCAGCAACTTGAGACCGTTGCCCCTTGTTCCAATCCCTGCCACCCCTGAGAAGTCTAGCTCCAGTCCTTTGTCTAACCCCAGGGTGTCACATGCACGGCCTGCAGGCCAAAAGTCCAGCCTTGCTCTGGGGATTGTCCTGCCACCTTAGCCAAGCACCCTCATGAGAGTTGCGGCACTGGAGCCCCAGCAGCACAATGGGGAGATAGGCAGGGCACAGACTTTCACAGATTTCATAGATATTAGGGCTGGAAGGGACCTCGTAAGATCATTGAGTCCAGCCCACAGCCCCAGGGGCAGGAAGTCAGCTGGGGCCAAAGGATCCCAGCAAGATAAACATCCAAATGTTTCTTGAAGGTGACCAGAGTAGGTGCACCACTTCTGTGGGGAGTCTATTTCAGGCCTTGGAGGCTCAGACAGTAAAGAAGTTTTTCCTTATGTGCAGCCTAAAATGGTCTTGCAGGAGTTCGTGACCATTGGACCTTGTCATCCCTTGGGACGTTCTGGTGAACAGGCGTTCCCCCAGATCCTGGTGTATACCCCCTATAAACTTAGAGGCTGCCACCAAGTCACCCCTGAGCCTCTGCTTCTAGGTCCATTGCTTGTTCTTATCATAGCAACTAAATGCCTAGGGTGCCAGGCCTCTTCCCGCTGGACTGGAAACGGAGAGCCTACTGGGCCATCCCCACACCAGCGATCCAGCCCACAGACTAATCTTGTAGCACTTCTCTGGCCTACAAGGCCAGACAAGTTTGACACCCCTGGTCTAACCTGTTAGCAAACACCTGCATGTGATTGAGTACACCAGGGGTGGGCAAAATACGGCCCGCCACGCCATTCTATCCGGCCCACGGGGCCCCTAAAAAATTTAGAAAATGAAAATTGATCTGCCCTGGGCTGCCTGTCGATTGCTTACCAAAGCAGACGACCTCCTGAGATCTCATGCGGCCCTCAATTGCTAACCAAAACTCGGTAAGAGGCCGTCCGCCCAAAATAATTGCCTGCCCCTGAACTACACTGTCAACCCTGACACAACCACAAGGCGCAGCACCCTCATCTGCCACAGGTACAGCAGGGGGACCACAGCAGCCCATCTCCTGCTACTATAAGTGTTATTATACACACCCGAGAGATCCAAGGAGAAGGGCCAGGCCCCCTGCTACAGAGGAAGGCAAAAACTTCCACAGTCTGTACCGATTTCTGATATACCATGCGGTAAAAGTCCTTCTTGACTCTAACTACAGCATTTGGTCTAACCCTGAGCCAAGGGGCAAGACCTTTCAGCCAGAACCCTCCAGGAGTCTTGGCCCACCCAGCTCACAGGATCAACCCAGAGATTACAAATAGGAATCCACAGTGTAAAAACCAATCTGACCTGTTGCAGTCCTTCGGAGTTCTTTACAACAGAAGAATACCTCTACTATTTTCCCAACATTGAAAAATGAGTGGAAGCTAAGAGCTGACATTTTTCAAAGGGTGCCCTGAGTCTAAAAAGGTTGAGAACTAGTGGTCTGTTGTATGTGCTTTTCTCGGTGGAAGGAGAAATGTTAAGAGCTGTGTATCTAAATGAGTGGCTTTTCACTTTTCTAGATTCAAAGCACCCCTCAGTAAATGCCAGCTCTTAGCTTTCACTCATTTTTAACTACAGGGAAAAAAAGAGCAATCCTGGTGCAAAGGACTCAGAAGACTGATTATAGGGCAGAGTGTTTTCCTGTTTGATTGGATTCCTATTTGAAGTCTCTGGGTTCACCTTGTGAATCAGATGTAGGTGTTTGCCCACTTAGCTGTACTAAGATTGCATAAAATTTTAATATTAGTGAGTGGATCTTGTGGCACCCTGGTTGAGATCACTGATCTAAACATAGGTTTGTTATAAAGCACAAGTAAATGAATGGGTGCTCATAATGAAAGTATGGAACAATCACAGTTGTGTCTTTGGGCAGTGAAGTATGCACCCATACATAAGGGTCCTTTGGAGAAGAAGTATGAGAAGCTGTTACATGCAAATACATGCTTATTATGGAAGAGGAGTGCATGCAGATGCCTGTGTACTCTTATGCATGTCCACAGATTGATATTAGAGTTTGTGTACTTGTGTTTACTGACAGGGGATATGAAATACATTTTTGGAGTATTTAAATAATTGAAATTCCTATGAGCAGGTCCTCATTCTACTTTTTAACTGTCCCTCATTGTAGATACATGATGTAATACTGCTCCATGAAAAAAGACACTCTCATTTTTGTAAGATATTTTCTTTGAAATGTTCAGTCACAAAATGGATCTAATTAACCATGCCATTTATCTTACAGCAATTATAGTATTTCACACCTTTTAACAATTTCAGACCACTTAACAGACAGCATAAAAACCTTTCTTGTAGCAGAAGGCTACAATCTACAATCATGTGCCTATAATAAATATACCTTTTTACATTTAGAAAAAGATAGTTTGAACAATTTATTCAAATTTCCATAGTACTAGTAGAGGCAGGACTTAATGTGACCCTCTTGGTTTTCAATTCCATGTGGTATTTTACATTCAGCATCCAGAGGTTTGACTGGCATAATCACTGCTGTACTCAAATATTAATCTTCTCAACAGACAGCTGTATATTCTCATCCAAAGGGAGCTGCTTACACATTTATTCAGTGGCACTGTTGGTTTTTCATTTGTTTTGCCATGATGATGTATCTTTTTTCTTTTGAGCAGTAACACACAATTTATCCAAGCATAAGCCTTCAGTTAAAGTGATGATCTCCTTTAATACATTTGACAGTAGCAATCAAGGCTTGTTGGATGGTGACACATGAAAATTCTTATATTGTTTTCAGAAACCCTGTGTGAGAGTGAAAAACGTCCAATAGAAAAAGTTTACCATATATCCTGGAAAAATTACTAGATGAAACAAAGATAAATCTTGTAGCTGGTCTCAGAATCAATAAATGTTTTAAAAGAGTTGTTTACAAATAAAACTGATTCAGAAATGCTCTCAAGGCACCTATAACAAAATTATAAGTGATTTTCCTTGTTTATTTTAAATTCATCACATGAAAAACATATATTATTAAAGAGCTAAATTATGATTTGGACCTTTTCCTTGGAAAACAAAAAATTTCTACTAATTTCTTGCATAACAATGATGATGTGTCATGTGTCTCACATCCAGGATTGCTGTCTGTGTATCCTGTCATAAAGATGGCAGAAAGCAAGACATTAGACACAAACTCATTCAGAAAGGCTTAAGCTTTCATAGGCAACAGCTTACTTCATCAGATGCTATGGATGATATAAAGATGGCATCTCATGTCATTCCTGAGTTAAAAGGAAATATACTGTAGAATTCAATAAGTTAGTAAACATAAGGGGAAAAAAGTCATTAACCATACCTATGAGTAGGGACCTACTGAATTCGAGGCAGATTTTGCAGGCAGAATATGGGGCCTGGCAATCATTTTGGAGGGCAGAATGCAGGGCGTAGCAGCCGTTTTGAGGGCAGAATGCAATCGTCTCCTCCCGTACTCCTCTGATTGACTGAGGGGGGGCAGTGGCCCTGCCCCTCACCATTGATTGGCTGCAAAGGCCCTGCCCCTCACCATGGATTGATGGAGAGAGGTAGGGCCACATGACAGGCAGCCCTTGCAGCCAATCAGCAGCGAGGGGTAGGGGCATCAGCTATGTTGCCTGCAACCCTTCAAGCGGGCAGCTCTTCCCCTCCCACTTCCCCCCTGTGGCAGGCTGCTGCAGCACCTCAAAGACTGCTGACCTCCTCTGGGGAGCCAGGATTTTATTTTTAGTGAGTTTTCTTTTTTTTTCTTTTTTTCCTTTCTTTCTGCAGATTTCACTAGCATTGCCTACTTTCTTGGCCAGTGCCAGATTTCACAAAATCTATAAAACTATGATTTAATTAGGTCCCTACATATGAGTTCCCTTCTTGGCAGTACATATTCCAGTCAATCACATGCCCATATCCCTTTAAAAAAAAGTCTGTGACCATTAGTATAAAATTTCTCATACATTATTGAACAGTCCATTTTTCATTTCCTGAATTTAGTAGTTCTAGTGGAAAACAAGAGCAGCTTAGTTGCTGTTAATTATGCAGCAACACAGGCCTCATACATATATTTAGTTTCTGTCAGGAGAGTCAATGCTGCCCCAGGAAAAACTACGAGTGTACAAAAGTTGAGGCTTTTTTTCCCCCAGAATAAAAATGGCCACTCCAGGAGAAAAATAACCTGGGAGCAACCAGAGTTAAATCACCCTGGGAGAATTTCTTCTGGGAGAACAAATGTTTGTACATACTGTGCCGGGTAAGTTTTCTACCAGAACAAACCTGGGAGAATTATCCCAAATTATTTGAATGTATGTACACAGCCACACAGAGTACTTCAAAGGGTCTGATCACTACAGTAACATCTTGCCTGGAGTATTAAAAAAATGCAACAGTTTAACCTTTTTTTTTAAAGAAATAATAAAAAAGTTTAAATAACATGAAAAGTTCAAGACAATTTTGAAGCAAGAAAAACAGTTTAAAGAGTTGATAGGGTTTATTGCACTCATGATCAATAAAGAATGATGTTTTAAGTGTCTCAATATTGAACCCCAGGATCTGACAGCATATGCCTTCACACACAGCATTGTCACTCATGCAAAATGGGTTTTAAACACTGCCATTCTGATTGCATAGCATAGATTTTCAGGGGTCTACATGATGAAAGCTAATTTCAGAGCAGCAGTCAAGGTGACCATTAGTGCTTTAAGGGACTCATTGATAAGCTGGGGCATACAGAAGGCAACAACAAATTTCATTTGATGCTGAATGTATGTGTGCACACATATGCATATGTGTGCGCCTGCAAGCATGTGGGTTATGGGGCAAGAATGCCATATTCAGTTGGACTGTATAATGTGAGTGCAAATGCACAGGCACTATTCAATTTTTCCAAAAGCACAGATCAATCGATAGCAGAAATGAAGGTGTGTGAATTCTCATATTTCTGAATTAAAATAAACATATAGTAATAGAGCCTTTGTATTGCTGTTTATTTTCCTCTCACTTCTACCATCTTTAATGAATTAAACTCATTCTGTATTGTAACTTTGTATGGTCTACTTTTAGTTAATTCTATAAAACAAAATTATCTAAAAAGATGAAGCAGGTAAAATACCAACTATTTATTCTCCCTCTCTTCCTCCCACTCCCCCTCCTCCCAAAATCAAGAATTTTTTTAAAAATCTGCCCACTGATTGGGTTTTATAATCGCATACAAACACTTTAAAGACATGATGAAAAGCAGGTTGGACCAGTTGCAGTAATTAAAACAAAAAAGAACAAGGAGTAATTTATCACTATAGAAATGAAAAGGGAGGGTAGAAGATCTAGGAGGCACTGAAAGACACCGGGCACTGCCCATCTAACCTACTTTTTATAAAAATGATCTTAACACAGCAAAAAAACACCCTTTATGCCACATTTTTAATTTAATGAGAGCTATATATATTATTGATAGTACAAGGCACTTTCAATCTATTGTTGAACTATGGTGAGGAAATTAGGGCATTTCTGCCAGAAAAGCAGATTCACGGAGCATTTGTTGACTCATTCAGACCTCACCTTATTGCCTTTCTCATTTTAAATACCCTCCAACACCACTGTACTCCATTGCATAAAAACAATAAGTATCTGTTAAGCCCTGTCGCATAGTGCTTTGTCATTCATTTTAAAACAATGCAGTAAATGAAATGTAGATTACTAATAGTCAATGGGTTACTAAGAAAAGACTCATTTTTTATTTCCTTCAACAGAAAGTTTTCAAAATCCCCTGTTCACATGGATGGATCATGGCAATATGAATGTGCTATCAGTCCACTTCTGCCTTAAATTCAACCCAGAGCAACAGTGATCAAAAGTTATTCCCAATCTGGCCTATATAACAGGACATTTGGTGATCTCAGATGGATTCCCCAAGACATATAACACTACTGCAATGTAAACCCTTTTTTGCCATCAAGGTGTC